AAAAGGCCTCATTTATACCTCTCTCTCCTCAATGGTGTGTTATGGGAGGGAGAAGAATTTGGTTTGGGTTATTCACTATGATTGTGTGGGATATTTTGAAGGGCTTGGGAAAAAGGTAAAATGGAATTAACATTGGGGGGTTTCTTATTATAGCTATGGTGGACCAAAAGAAATAGAAATTTTTTTAAGATAAAATCAAAATTGTGAAGCTTCTATCATCGTGGGGATTTCTTTCAGGGTTGTTGCATACAATAGATTATTCCTTTTATATGGATCTGTCATAACTAGAAAGCTATCTTCCTTTGATGGAGTTTTATAGTAATTTTCTTATTTTGCTTTTAGTATATTAATGCATACTGTACTTTTCATTTTCTATTAAAATTCTTGTTTCCTATGAAAAAAAATTGAATAAATGAGTTAAACCAAAAATCATTACTATATAAATTCTCAACCCATTAATTTTTTGTCTCATAATGGGATGGATAAGATGATTTATCTACTGAAAATGTACAAGCTAATATTCTAGAATTGAAACTAACAGGAGAAAACAAAAAAAAATTAAAGAACATGAAATCAGGTCATTTGGATGTGCACGACAAACAAATTCTTCATTGTAGTTAGAGCTTTATAAATTGTTTTTTAAGTTTTCATTTTCTTATATTCTTCCAAGATAACAAGCCCAACTAATGTCTAAATTTTTTTATTGCATTTACATAAAATTTAGGCAGAAGTGTAAATGAAAAAAACAAAACAAAAAAGTGACATATCATTAGCATTTCTATAAAATATTTAATCCTATCGTTCTGATAAGAGCATGCAACAATCTTCAAATATAACACACCTGGAAAAATCAGAAAATACATGAGATTTGAGAATTTGTTTGATGTTCTTAAACTTCTCCCTGAGCTCTGTGATCTTCGGAATATCTCTATAGGCTTCAAAATGGCTACATAGTTGGTTTACCGCCTGACAAGTATTGTGAACAAAATTAGCATGCGGTACACACTTGACATTGAACAATCAGCCTAATTTTAAAAACATGCCAAAGGGAAGTATAATGGAACTCAGAAATGAATATTATGTCCATTTTTCCACTTTAAGGTTTCAGTTAGTCAATCAAGTTTAATCACCACAAAAACATATTCCTCGGCCTTTCCCCCTCCCCAAGGAACTAAATTTTGTTTCAAAATAGTCGAAACCAATACGAATCATTGATCAAATATTGAAATTTTAATATTTTTACATGTTTCGAAGTGCTTCAGTATGTTTCCCAATATTTCGGTATGTTTTGACTAATGTTTCAAAAACACATTTTTAGATTATTTTTTTTTTCCAAAATGTTTTCNGATCAAATATTGAAATTTTAATATTTTTACATGTTTCGAAGTGCTTCAGTATGTTTCTCAATATTTCGGTATGTTTTGACTAATGTTTCAAAAACACATTTTTAGATTTTTTTTTTTCCAAAATGTTTTTGTTTCCAAGCTAACTAAAACTATGCACCAAAACAAAATTTTGATACCTCTCCAAGGAAAGGTGTCAACTCTGACTCATTGATACGAACTCGACACGACACGATTATTAAATACGCATAATAAATGGTCTATATTGATGTTTGAAACTCATAACAAAATAAATAGATTTTTTTCCATGGGTTTTTGACATAAATATAACACGAATAACAATGACACGACACAAAAAAACACGACATGTGGGTCACACAACACGAATTGACACCACTACCCCCCGAACATAATAACCACTCCGAAAAAAAAAACAATATAACCGCACCGAGCTAAAAGGGCAAAGAAGGAAAAAATAAAATAGAAGAGCACAGGCGATGCCATTATTTCATCATGGCCAATTTATCACAACTGTGGATAAAAAAATTTATTTCTAGCCAACTCTTCATAAAATTAACCAAACTAAAATCTCTAAGGGCAACTCAACTCAAAGCTTGTGGATAAGTCAACTAACATTTTCTGATTAGAATTTTGACCTTGACGACATCCAACCATTGTAAGCAAACAATTCTTACACCTAGAAAATGGGAACAAGAGTCTCTGCACAATCTCTATTACGCACAGCAATGAGCAATCACTGAATACCTGACAAAGTACAGTTCATTTGAATATTTTGATTGTTATTGAGTTTGGAATCCCTAGAACTTTTTTACTACTAACCCATTTTATTAGGGAGTAAAGGAGATAAAACTTCAATTAGGAAAATAGAAACTACATTATTGTATATACTTGTTTACACATATCAGATGAAAGAGAAAGTATACACTTGTTTACGCATAACCGATGAAAGAGAAAGTACATCAAACAAGATGAGTTTCCCAAGTAACGAGCTAAGCAAAACAAACAATAAGAACGGATTAATATGTAAGACTAATGTAAACTGGAAAGTCCAAGATTATCATGCCTACCATCACATTTGCAAAGAACATTTTGCATCTTTCCATCATGCTCAACACATAAAGAACTTTGTAATCATAAGAGATCGAAAAAGAAACCAATTCCCACATTTTATCAACAACAAAGTAATATAACATAAGCACAAACAATAAACCATCCCATTAACTCCTAGTTCACTATCTCAGTCACATCCGCATGATCTTCATGCCCTACTTTCATAAGACAATTCAATAATCTCCATAACTATTGATCCACTTATATAAAAGGGTTTCTCTTTGCATCTTTTATTATGATGTTGTAAGCAATCTATAAGCCACAATAATATTCTCTCTATTTTTCTTCTCTTTCTCCCTTTTTCAATTAAGTTTTCATGGTATCAGAGCATGTTCGGATCCGATCAACAACGGAATAATGTTCGCCAAAAGAATTGCCAGAAGAAATTAAAATTTCAGAAAATCAGCGTTTGACAGACCCTGATTCAAGGTAGTTGGGGTATTTGTAATGGGTCTTCTGTGGTTTTGGTGAGTCAACAATCTTGCTTGGCCACCAATTATGAGTTTTTGGATGGTTTTATATACTGCTACTGTTCTGTTGTTTTGCTGATTTGCAATGAATTTCTTTGTGGTTTGACAAGTGGGCATCCCTGATTTGTGCACCAGTGATGCACTTTTGTGATGTGGGAGAATCCAAGAGGTTTTTCGAGACCACGCAGATCCCCTAATAGGCTTTAGCTTGAGCTCTAGTTAGCAGATTTTTTAGTTATCATTTTATTTCCGCGGTATTTTATGTTTTTTGTGAATCTTATAGATGGTATTTATGTTTCTAGTCTTTTTAAAAAAGAAACGTGACTGTCATGTGAGTTTTTAATTATTTTGGAGGGCTAAGATTAAAGAGTTATTAAGGTGATCAAGGACGGCTAGAATGCTAGGACTGTTGTAACCCTAACATAAATACCTCTTTATGAATCTTGTAACAGTTTTTTCTTATTCTTATTCTTATTCTAGAAAACCTGATTTTCTATTTTCTTGGGTCTCTTTGCCCAAGAAATTCATATATTCTTGATCCATCTTTGATTCTAGTGTTTTTTCTTGTTATCTTATTACTGGAAATTTATTAAAAGGTGTTGATTCTTGCAATAAATAGCAATTTACAGCAGATCTAAGAATTTGTTGCATCAATTTAGTATCAGAGCCTAAGAATCCTAGATTGACATCATGGACAAAAAGTGATAGTGGTCGTGGTGGAAGAGGAATCAGTTCCAACAAACTGAGATTGCTGAGATGAGGCGTATGATTGAAGATTTGTCGCGTGCAGTACAAATGCTACAACGACGAGAACAAGTGGACAGTCGTATGGAGATTCCAAAAGGCAACCGCAACCTTTTCGACATACCAGAAGGTAGTCTAGAGGATGATGATGAAGTAGAAGAGAAGAATCTCTTCCATGAAATCGAGCACATAGACAATCTGAGTCGAGGTGGATTGGAAGAGAGATAGTTAGGTGCCCTTGATTTCAATGGTGGAGTAATTAAAATCGAAGTTGCTGATTTTTGCGGAAAGATGCATGTTGAAGATTATTTGGTTTTGCGGAAAGATGCATGTTGAAGATTATCTGGATTCGGAAACTAGTTTGAAGACCAGTTTTGAGTGGAAACCTATGACAGAAGAGAGAAAGGTGCTATTTTTGAAGCTTAAATTAAAGGGCATTGCACTTCACGNTAATTAAAATCGAAGTTGCTGATTTTTGCGGAAAGATGCATGTTGAAGATTATTTGGATTCAGAAGCTAGTTTGAAGACCAGTTTTGAGTGGAAACCTATGACAGAAGAGAGAAAGGTGCTATTTTTGAAGCTTAAATTAAAGGGTATTGCACTTCACTNCATGTTGAAGATTATCTGGATTCGGAAACTAGTTTGAAGACCAGTTTTGAGTGGAAACCTATGACAGAAGAGAGAAAGGTGCTATTTTTGAAGCTTAAATTAAAGGGCATTGCACTTCACGGGTGAAAGTGGGTTGAAAAGCAACAATCTCGACAACACAAGCGAAAAATCTGCCCATGGGAACATATGAAGGTTGTTAAGTTGAGAGAGAATTAACACAATATTAGAGAGAAACAAAGAGGGGTTAAAATTTAACCTACCTCTCACAAACTACTTGTATTTATAGATAACTCATAATAATACAAAAGACGTATACACCCTCTAATATTTACACATAATACCCTAATACTCTTAATAAAGGTAAAGATGCGAAAGTAATTTTTGCCAGCCAATTATGCTATATATATTTTTTCAGTGGGGCAACTTGAAGGAAGGCTAGAAGGGAGTCCTGTTTAGCCAATTAGCTACTAAGAAAGCAATCAGTTCACTTTAGATAGGTTGCAGCGGATAAATTATCCGCTGTTGATCCAAACCCCCTTAGTTCTCATCTCATTTCTCATCAAGTTGTATGAAAGATTTCACACCTTGAAACAAAGGAGCATGACGACAAAGGAGTATACATCTAAGTTCAATAATCTCTCTATTCGGGTTGGTTTAATTTCTTATTATCTTTTAGGCTCAAACAAATTGATTAGAGATGAGATGGGAATGGTTCGTATGTTCACCCAAGAAGATGCTCGACAGAATACATCAGTAACCGAAAAGAGAGTGTGGTGTTATTGTGCGAGAAGACCGTTACCTGGACGTGCTGATGGTGTAGCACAGAGAAACACAGCTGCTACCCAGGGTGTTCTGGGTGAACAAATGGCCTCAAAATTTGATAGTGGGGTTGCTACAACTAGCCAACCAGGTGGTGGAAGTAATGGGGTGGCTGATATAGGTGAAAAAGGCTGGGCAATTACAAGGTTTAATGGAAAATAGGCTGCTGGTACAAACAACTCCAAGGCAGGTTCGTTGTTTCACTTGTGGAGAAAAAGGACACATCTTATGCATGCCCACAACGAAAAGTCAACTTAGCAGAACTTGGGGGTGAGGAAGATGAAGTAATGGATCCTGTTTATGAGGAATATGTTGAAATTTAGGAAGCACGGATACGGACACGGGAATACGACAAAGTTTCAAAATATAAGACACGGATACGGCAAAGATATGGCTAAATAAAATAATATTATATATTTTTTATAAATAAAAATATTAATAATAAGACCTAATAAACATTGAGCAGTTAGTTAATATTTTATAATTGGTTAATGGATTAATATCAATTTAGACAGCGGACTAATATGTTATAATTGGATGGGCTATTATCAAATTGGACAATGGGTTAATATATTTGACAACTAATAAATAGATATACTATTTGACAACTAATAAATAGATATACTACCAGAAAAAAACTATTTTTTTAAAAAAAAAATTGAAATTTAATATGTATTCAGAGAGAGAGAGATCAGGCAAAAAAATAAAAAGCAAACGCATGAGAGAGACAGAGAAAAAAAAAATAAAAGAATAAAGGGGGCCTTCAGACCTAGGTACCAACTACCAGGTATGTTCTTCTTCTTCTCTCTCTCTCTGTGTGTATCGCCCATCACAATTGCCATTGCCTCTCGCTTCTTCCCTCTCGCCTCTTCTCTCTGTCTATCTGTGTTCGTTTGTGGGTGGGTCATGAACAACTGCGCTGCCTTATATATATATATTTTTGATATAAGTATGAACAATTACATTTGATACCCCATAGCAATATAATTTTTTACTTTTAACTATACATAACTATCATTAATTTAATTTGATACCCTTCATTATTTTTTTTCCTTTTTATTCTTTTATGTTATTATTATTTGTTAAATTGACATATTAAATAACTACAAGTTATTTTATTAATTATAACTTTTTTGTTAAATATCTAGAATTAAGTATTTATGTGTTTTAATCATTGTGTACACAATGATTTTAATATCAATGAAATAATATTATTTATTAATTTGAAGACAATTTAAATTAAAAAATTAGTATTATAATAATATGCTACAAAAATTAGTATTATAATAACATGTTGCACTCAGTATTATTAATAAGCAAATTAGTATTATAATAAAATTGCATTATTAATTGGATAATATTTTAATTTAAAAGTGTTATACATGTCATATTTAAAATTAAGTGTTTCAAACTGATTTAAATGATTTCCGCCTCATGTCAAATATTTTTTTTCCTCCAATTTAAATTTATTCTTGTATAAATGAATGTTAACCTAATAAATATGTTGAATTAATCAATTATTTAGCTTATCTTTATAAATAAATAGATTGTATTTGTATTTCTACACGTTTCTATATTTTTTCTGCGTTTTCATTACGTTTCCAAAATTTTTTCGTTTGCGCTGACCGAAACGGTACTTCGAAACGATATTTTGATCCTTGTTCATTATACAAAAGCCCATATCTATTCCTTCAAGAAAGGAGAAAAAATCTCACTATACAACCTTTAAGGGAAGAAACTACAAATTTTCCTAATGCATGCAAGGTTAATGGGTGCTTGATTGCCCCAAAATTTGAAGTGGAAAGTAGAGAATTAGAAATTATCTATGCACTGGTAGGTAGGAGTGTAACAGTGGCCTCAACCGATTGAATTCTATGATTATCCATTCAAAATTCAAAAACTTTTAAAAGATTTTCAAGAGCTAATCAATGATGAGTTACTGCGAGCTTTGCCACCAATGAGGAGCATTCAACATGTCATTGATCTACTACCAGTTTTAGTTTTACCCAATCTATCGGTTTATAGAATGTCACCCGCACATAAAGCTGAAATGCAAAAACAGTTGAAGGGTTGCTTGATAAAGGTTTGGTGCCTGAAAGTAAAAGTCCTAGTGTTGTCCCAGCTTTACTTATGCCCAAAAAGGATGGTTCATGAGAATGTGTGTGGATAGTCGGGCAATAAACAAAATTATAGTGAAGTATCGCTTTCCAATTCCTCGCTTGGAGACATGCTCACTAAATCCAAGATGTATTCCACGATAGATTTGAGGAGTGGATATCATCAATTTGAGTGCAAAGTGGTGATGAATGGAAAACCGCTTTCAAAACAATGGACTCTTTGAGCGGTTGGTGATGCCATTCGGACTCAATACTGCTCCAAGTACATTTATGCGAGTTATGATAGAGGTTCTTAAACCTTTCTTAGGATTATTTATTGTTATTTACTTTGATGATAAACCTTTCTTGGGATTATTTATCGTTACCTACTTTGATGATATATTGGTATATAGCCGGACTCGAGAAGAGCATTTAGTCCATTTATGTCAAGTCATGGAGGTTCTTCGCAAGGAGAAACTCTATATAAATATAAAGAAGTGCACTTTATTGTGCCACGAATTTGTGTTTCTTGTATTTATTGTTTCAGCAAATGGCTTACAACCTGATCCAGAGAAAGTAAGAGCTACCAAGGAGTGGCCAATACCACAATCTATGGGTCATGTTCGCAGTTTCCACGGATTGGCTTCGTTCTATTGGAGGTTTATACCAGCTCTATTATGAGTCCAATCACGGAGTGTTTGAAGGGAGTTGATTTTAATTGGTCAAAATCAGCACAAAGGGCCTTTGAAGTTTGAACAAATGAAATGGTAGATGACTGTAGCTCCAACGCTAGTTCTAGTAGATTTTGAGCAGCTTTTCACCGTGGAGTGTGATACATCCCATGTGAAAATTGGGGCTGCTCTTAGTCAAGATGGAAGGCCGGTGGAATTTTTCAATGAGAAGTTAACACATGCCAAGCGTCATTATTCCACTACTGATTTGGAATTTTATGCACTTGTCCAAGCAATTCAACATTAGAAGCATTACCTAGCATATAGAGACTTTGTTGTTTATTCTGATCATCAAGCCTTGAGGTACTTGAATTCGCCGAAGAAACTAAATTCAAAGCACGCTAAGTGGAGTTCTTATCTATTGGGGTTTACTTTTTCCCTTAAATATAAAGCTGGTGAGTCTAATAAATTTGTAGATGCATCGAGTAGGCGGACTGTATCGTTGCCAGTGNTGCCCACAACGAAAAGTCAACTTAGCAGAACTTGGGGGTGAGGAAGATGAAGTAATGGATCCTGTTTATGAGGAATATGTTGAAATTTAGGAAGCACGGATACGGACACGGATGTCGTATCCGATAGGATNGTTTAATGGAAAATAGGCTGCTGGTACAAACAACTCCAAGGCAGGTTCGTTGTTTCACTTGTGGAGAAAAAGGACACATCTTATGCATGCCCACAACGAAAAGTCAACTTAGCAGAACTTGGGGGTGAGGAAGATGAAGTAATGGATCCTGTTTATGAGGAATATGTTGAAATTTAGGAAGCACGGATACGGACACGGGAATACGACAAAGTTTCAAAATATAAGACACGGATACGGCAAAGATATGGCTAAATAAAATAATATTATATAATTTTTATAAATAAAAATATTAATAATAAGACCTAATAAACATTGAGCAGTTAGTTAATATTTTATAATTGGTTAATGGATTAATATCAATTTAGACAGCGGACTAATATGTTATAATTGGATGGGCTATTATCAAATTGGACAATGGGTTAATATATTTGACAACTAATAAATAGATATACTATTTGACAACTAATAAATAGATATACTACCAGAAAAAAACTATTTTTTTAAAAAAAAAATTGAAATTTAATATGTATTCAGAGAGAGAGAGATCAGGCAAAAAAATAAAAAGCAAACGCATGAGAGAGACAGAGAAAAAAAAAATAAAAGAATAAAGGGGGCCTTCAGACCTAGGTACCAACTACCAGGTATGTTCTTCTTCTTCTCTCTCTCTCTGTGTGTATCGCCCATCACAATTGCCATTGCCTCTCGCTTCTTCCCTCTCGCCTCTTCTCTCTGTCTGTCTGTGTTCGTTTGTGGGTGGGTCATGAACAACTGCGCTGCCTTANGATGGTGTAGCACAGAGAAACACAGCTGCTACCCAGGGTGTTCTGGGTGAACAAATGGCCTCAAAATTTGATAGTGGGGTTGCTACAACTAGCCAACCAGGTGGTGGAAGTAATGGGGTGGCTGATATAGGTGAAAAAGGCTGGGCAATTACAAGGTTTAATGGAAAATAGGCTGCTGGTACAAACAACTCCAAGGCAGGTTCGTTGTTTCACTTGTGGAGAAAAAGGACACATCTTATGCATGCCCACAACGAAAAGTCAACTTAGCAGAACTTGGGGGTGAGGAAGATGAAGTAATGGATCCTGTTTATGAGGAATATGTTGAAATTTAGGAAGCACGGATACGGACACGGGAATACGACAAAGTTTCAAAATATAAGACACGGATACGGCAAAGATATGGCTAAATAAAATAATATTATATATTTTTTATAAATAAAAATATTAATAATAAGACCTAATAAACATTGAGCAGTTAGTTAATATTTTATAATTGGTTAATGGATTAATATCAATTTAGACAGTGGACTAATATGTTATAATTGGATGGGCTATTATCAAATTGGACAATGGGTTAATATATTTGACAACTAATAAATAGATATACTACCAGAAAAAAACTATTTTTTAAAAAAAAAATTGAAATTTAATATGTATTCAGAGAGAGAGAGATCAGGCAAAAAAATAAAAAGCAAACGCATGAGAGAGACAGAGAAAAAAAAAATAAAAGAGTAAAGGGGGCCTTCAGACCTAGGTACCAGCTACCAGGTATGTTCTTCTTCTTCTCTCTCTCTCTCTGTGTATCGCCCATCACAATTGTCATTGCCTCTCGCTTCTTCCCTCTCGCCTCTTCTCTCTGTCTATCTGTGTTCGTTTGTGGGTGGGTCATGAACAACTGCGCTGCCTTATATATATATATTTTTGATATA